AATGTAGTTGTACATTTTTGCAAGTGTCTAGAGGGAGTCTGTCGGCGGGATTTCACCGGAGAAGTGTGGCGGTCGCCGGTTGAAGGAAGCCTGGTGGTCGGTTAGAGGCTGTTGTAAAAAAGAAGAATAAGAGATAGAGAGAGAATTGTATTTAATGTAATTTTAAATTATATTAAATACAATTTTTTTAATGGTACAACGTATCACTACACTGATACATTTTTAATGTAGTTGTACATTTTTGCAGGTGTCTGGAGGGAGTCTGCCGGCGGGATTTAACCGGAGAAGTGTGGCGGTCGCCGGTTGAAGGAAGCCTGGTGGTCGATTAGAAGCTGTTGTAAAAAAGAAGAATTAGAGATAGAGAGAGAATTGTATTTAATGTAATTTTAAATTACAAAAAGCAAATAATTAATATGATTATTTATTGCATTTAATACTTGGGTGTTGTTTTTCCAAGTAACAAGTTAACCGAGCCCTTCTCAATGAGATTTCAAATTACCGGATCCATAAACGAGTCGAGAATCACACACCTGACAACCGAAAGAATTTTGCTTGTAGTCACCATACAAGACTAGTAATCTCCACTACAGCTTGCCAACATAGGCGAAAGCCCCAACCAAGAAAAGAGAGAGAATAAAAACGAAGGACGAAACAAACAAAAAATCTTGTTTATGTAAATAAAATTCAAAGGCTGTCCAAAGCTCCATTCATCGAAAACGAAAGGAAGACTATGTACGACATGGCCGGCGACAGTCATCTCATACATAATTATGCACTAAAACCCCATTAAGGACAAAACAAAACCAACGAAAACTAACGAAGAAACGGAAACAGTCTTCAATCACTGCCCCCACTGTCTCTTGGCTGGCTGCCGGCTACCCAAACAACAACCTTTTGCCTTTGAAATAGCAAAAAAAAAAAAAATTCCATCAAGTTTCCCCGTTTCGGTTTCATTTTTATTACAGCTTTTATTTTATTTGCCGTTGAACCCCAAGACCATCTCTCCTAAGTCCTACCCTTTCTTTTCCGTTTTGATTCTCTGGTTTGACTTCTGTCTGACTCCTTTAACTCGTTTTCTTCCTGTGAGAGTTCGATCAGAGGAAAAGAAAACAGGATGAACGACCTGCTCACGGTAAAGTTCAATTCTTTTCTGGTTTCCAAGTACTGGGTTCTCACCTTTTGTCGTCATTTCTTCGGTTTCTCCTAGTTTTGATCAATTGGTATAGTAAAGAGATAAGAACAGTGCTGCAGATTGTACTTGAACTAGAATGCTTTCAGTTTCGATTTTTCTTTGTTCTTATGTTCTGGGGAGAATTCTTAAATTTTCATTGTGATTCCCTGTTTTGATCATAAAGGCGCCAAGTGGAAATTGTACCTGTAATAATTTAAAATTCTCTCAGGTCCTTGTGGTGTTAAGAATTTGAATTTCTCGCCAGATTTGACACAAGTTCGTTGCTAGAATTGAACATGCAAGAGATTACTCTTGTATGTAGATATTTCATTGCAACCCTAATTTTATTCTCTTAGTCTAGTGACCATCATATGTTTGCATATGGCTTATGAAAACCCTTTTCCTTGCTACTCTTGGTGATGACTGATGAGTATGTTTAAAGTTAAAATGATGAAAACTGAGTTTGTGGTATTCTGTTATGGTTTCAGGATTCGTTCGTTGGTCCTACGAACCGGGTTCAGAGTAACGATATTGAGATGGGGGTCCAGGGTCACAGCCAGAGCTCCAGGAGTAGCTCTGATATGGGAATGGCAAGTTTCAATAAGCAGGTACAGGTTTTTGTTTATTTATATACGGCAATGAGCATTATGCAGAGTACTGTATAAGAGAAGCTTTAAATAAATATGTTCTGGGTTGTGTTTCTTTAGCTAAACTTGGGGCGTTGTGTCTGCTCTAGCTCTTTCCTTCCCTAACTTGTTTTGTTTTTTCATATGACCTTTTACTAGATACAAGAAGTTGAGAAAAATGTTGATAAAGTTGCTGGTCTGCTGAAGAACTTGAAGGTATGTGTCTAGTTCTTTAGTATCAGCAGGCATTGAGCTATAGATAACTTTGGTATGGATAGAGTAATATAACGAATTGAGCAGAACCAAGGGTTCAATTCTACGAAATTCTCTCTGTTATAGTTTTATCTTGTGGAAGAAGGCCCCTCCTATTGCATTCTTTAACTGCATGTAATTTACTAATGTTATCATCTGCAGGATGCTAATGAGGAATCAAAGACAGTTACAAAAGCTTCTTCCATGAAAGGTAAGCAACTTCTTTGGACGTAGACATGTAGTTAATTATGCTAATTGAAACCTTTTGAAGTTTGAATATAACAACAAGTTCCAGTCAGCACTTTGAAGCACCTGAGGTCTGACTTGTTTTTTACCATCCAACCATTCAGCCATCAAAAAGCGAATGGAGAAAGACATTGATGAAGTGGGCAAGACAGCACGTTTCGTCAAAGCAAAACTAGAAGCCATAAACAAAGATGTAACACACTTTACTTTACTCCGGTTGTGTTGTGTGTTTATCTAGTTTAACTGTTTAAATGTATCCTTGAAGACCTGCATCATATTTACTTACTGGACTGGTTCTTCCCCTTTTGTTTTTAACTATCAGAACTTAGCCAATCGACAGAAACCTGGCTGCGGAAAGGGAACTGGGGTCGACAGAGCTAGGATGAACGTTTCAAAGTAACAATGGCTTCTCATTTCCAGAGTTGATCAAATTTTGTAATGAGCTCCTTTTCCTAACACTTCATATTTGGTGTACATTTCTTTTGTGTGGATTGCAGTTCATTAACGAAAAGGTTTAGGGACCTGATGACTGAGTTTCAGACCCTAAGGCAGAAGATACAAGATGAATATCGAGAGGTTGTTGAGAGAAGGGTCATGACCGGTACGAATCCTTTGCTTGGAAAATGATTGCCTGAATTCAATTAGAGCTAGCTTGGATAATATGGACTGCATTTATTGAGACTGACCACCTCATTTTTTACTTATTTCTCATCACAATTTGAGCAGTTACTGGAACTACACCGAATGAGGAGGTGAACCTTGGATATAGAAACCAGAAGTTAAAGTCTTTTATGCTGAATTTGATCTCTTTTTATTTTGTTCTTGTTCTAATGAGGTGTTCTTGATTGACATTAGACGATTGACCAACTAATTGAGACGGGAGATAGCGAGCAGATCTTTCAAAATGCAATGCAAGAAATGGGTCGAGGACAGGTTTGGCTGCTTTGAAATAATTACTACCATACATCATTCTGCTCGAAAGAAAGACCAGCAAATTTTTATTCTGCAACTATTAGTCCTCAGCCATTCTGAGCCTTGTCTGTGTAGGTGTTAAATACGGTGCAAGAAATCCATGAGAGGCATGATGCAGTGAAGGAGATCGAAAAGAAGCTTCTTGATTTACACCAGGTAAGTCACTCTATCCCACATCTAGCTACTCACTTGCTCAACAAGCTAGCAGATCCTAACAACTTCTGTCTCAATCTTGTTGTCAGATATACCTTGACATGGCTGTCCTAGTTGAGGCTCAAGGAGAGATATTAGACAACATCGAAAACCAGGTATTCTGCTTCTGTTTCTATAAATGCTTTTCATTTCTGCTTACACATCATTTAGTAGCATATATATTTAGATATGTACTGGAACCATGTAATGGTGACCAATCTGGTATGATTTTATCGTGATATCATAACTGACTTTTTACGCGAATTTTCTTAATCTCTGTTGTACCTTGAACGGCCAATCTCATTTGCTTGAGATCGTGTACAGTTTCATGATCCATTACCTTTCCTCTTAATGCTAGAGATATATAAAGAGAATATTTTACCAAGTAATTTCCTTTTTCCGAGCAGGTGACAAATGCGGTGGATCATATTCAGACAGGGACAGATGCCCTTCAGACGGCCAAGAGTCTGCAGAAGAACTCGAGAAAATGCATGACGATCGCAATCATTCTCCTCTTGCTCATTGCCAGTTTCATTGTACTAGCCGTTTTCAAACCCTGGAAGAACAAGAAGGCCTGAAATCCCCCACACACACAAGGAAAATACACACATGCAGATAGATATATATATATAGAAGAAAGAAAAAAAGTAGTGCTTTATCCATTCATTACGCAACTATTTCCTGTGTCACTCAATAACATCACACTACAGTTGCATTTCTTCCAATGGCTCTCACTCAATTTAAGGCCTCCCCTCTGTAATTTTGACCTCTATCCTATAGTTTTTGTTGGGGCATATACAGGTTCAAGACCTTATGTGCAACAGTGGTTAAACACAAATTTGCATTTTGATTAATATTTCAGATTTGTTGCTCTGATGCCACTTCTGAACTCGAATTTGAGAGAGTTTCGAGTGAATGAATGGAACGTTGCAGTCAAATAGTAATATGGATTGAAGCGGTGCCTACATCGTTTCTACAGAAGAACCTGGACTGTTGGCTCTACTCTGTGACGACTTCTAAAAACGCGGACCTGGCAACTTGAAGCAGCTCATGACTGACTAATCGGAGCAACTAACACAACCTGGTTTTGTAACAACTTGAAAGAAGATTTCCAACCCTAATCAAATGGCTTGGATTATGATCCCTAACATGTTATGCAAACCTGAAACATACTACCATAATGAGAAAACACATGACGAGGGAAAGCAACTGATAGGAACATATATTGATATAGGAATCATCTGATGAGAAAATTACAGCACAACAGAATCAAATGCTTGCAAATGTCTTGATCAAAACTACAAACTATAAAGCGAAATGACAAAAATAACAATTGTGGCCTTGGATTCCTCGGAATTGGCCTCAGTATTTGGCCTAAACAGTAAAATATTCTATTATTTGGCACACAAATTATTCACTTCATCCCGGTTCCATAATGTCAGGATCCTGGTTGGATTCCCCTCCCACCCTCTTCAAAAAAACAGTACTCTGAAAGTGAAAACAAACCCTTCTTCCATAGCACCCATAATTCTCTTTGTTCCTTACATCCTCGACTTGGCAACCACCTCAGATCCAGCTCCACCCATTTCCATGGCTCCTGGCCTTGTCCACGTCTCCTTGAACTGCTCCTCAGTCACCCCTGCAAAATTACCCATAATTCTGTTGAGACCAAACAATAGAAGGACCAAAATGATCTCTGAAAAAGGAAATGGAACTCTAACCAAATTTTCACAAACGCTAACCTTTGCCCATGGCAGCAGTGGAAGAAATCCCGCCCTGCACAGTCTTGAGGTACCTGTCGTAGAAATTAGCACCCGACCACTTCTGATGCGCCAGAGTATCCACCCCATTGCTCCTCTCTTCCCTCTGTATCCTCTCCACATACGCCAGCATCCCTCTGCGCGCGAAATCCCTTGCAAACGTATCCACCACCAGCGCATCCGCGTGGAACCCAGCAAGCGTAATGAACTGCCAGCAGAAACCCAGCCTCGCAATCCTCGGTATGAAGTCCTTCATCTGCTCGTCGCTCATCCCTGAAGCATCCCAGTTGAACGACGGCGACAGATTGTACGCCAGCATTGTCTCTGGGCAGCTCGACTTCACCCCCTGAGCGAAATTCGTGCACTCCACCAAATCTGGGCTCGACGTCTCCATCCAGATCACATCCGCGTGGGAAGCGAACGCTCTGCCTCGGACCACAGCAGCCATCACCGAGCCTTTGAATCGGTAGAACCCTTCGCGGGTTCTTGGCAAATCCCAGTCCCAGAACAGGTTGTTGATCCCCAGTCGACCAGCGAGCTCGCGGGCTTGGTCGTGGGAGAGGCATTTCTCGTAGCTGGACAGATTCATCCACTCGTTCACCTTCCTCCGCTTCTCTGACTCAGGGGCGTTCATTTTCTCAATCATGCCCACCACGTGTTCGGAGAAAGTCCTCAACTGGGCCGACTCGACCCAGTTGTCTTCAATAGCTTGCAACTCAGCTCCGGTTTTCCCATTCGCCATCCCTTCAGCCAGAACCGCCGCCAGGCTCCTCCCCTGAAGATTCGGGTTCGTCACGCCCAAAATGAACTGATGGTCCCTCGGGTCGATGTTGGTCTGAATTAATGTCGCAGCGACCGCGTCAGTCCTCGCCACCAGCAGCGTCTCCACGCCCATCACGTCGAATTGCAGCCTGGCAGCAACCAGCCGGTTGATGTGCTCGCTCACCGAAACCAGCACTTTCCCAGCCATGTGGCCGCACTTCTTGGTCACCGAAGACTGGTCCTCGATGTGAACCCCAGCTGCCCCGCGCTCCACAAACAGCTTGCAGAGCTTCACGGTGGCAGTTGTCCCGCCGAATCCGGTGTCCCCATCGGCTATGATTGGTTTCAGGTAGTCGATGTAAGGGGTTCGAGCCCTCTCCTCGCGGCTCATGCTCATTCTGGACTCCCTCTGCTTTCGGTCGTGATACTGCTGGGCGTAGAACAGGTGTTCGACCTTATTGGGCACGGTATCGTACGGGTAGTCGGCGAGGTCCGGCCCCGGCTCGTTGGTGGAGGTGTGGGTGGAAGAGCATTGCCAGCCGGAGACGTAGATGGTGTCGAGGTGTTTGGCCATCATGGTGACTTGGACTGGGTCGAGGGCGCCGAAGGTGCGGGAGGCGGTGGCGTTGGCCTGGTGGGTTTTGAGGGTGCGCCACAGCTTCTTGGCCATCTCGTTGGAGCCGTAGCTTTGGTGGAGGTTGCCGCGGAGCGCCACCACGTCCTTGGCGGAGTACGGGCGGTGGGTTAGCTTGAACCGCTCTGAGTTCCACCATGCTTGCACCTCTGCTACTTCGGCCTCGAATCTTCCTTCTTCCTCCATTATCTGTCGTCCACATTATGATTATAGGCAGAATTTCGCTTTAACACTTCTCACAATTGCTCCAGAAAATTAATTTTTTTTGCTCGAATGCCTAATTTCTTAACATAATAGAGAGTTACAAAAGAGACTCAAGTATGGTAGAGGAAAATTTTCTATAGTGGTTTTAGGAGGAATGGCAATAGCAGGTTAGCACGGTACTCTACATTGGTATTTGTCTTGTGACAGGACGAGTGCAAGTTGGGTATTTTATCTTGAATACGGGTTGAGATAATTCGACTTATATGGATATGTAGTTTAAAGAAAAACTATTTGAAATATTTATTTGTTTTCATTAAAAATTGAGAAACAATCTACAATACGATAATTGTAGTTAAACTATTAGAAAAATTATGTTATTGTCTATTTAAAATTTCATTATAGTTAATATATTATGTAGTAGCAGTAGTAATGGAAAGCTAGAAAAGAACACTCAATTCATGGTATAGGAAATTTTCTCCTAATGGTTTTAGGAGGTATGTCAACCATTAGGAATGGCAATGGGTATCTCGATATACACACCTAGCCAGACGCAAGTTGGGCATTATATCTCGAGCATTGATCGAGGACCGACTCATCGAGATATTTATTTTAAAGTAAAAACACTTGAGCATTTATTTGTTTTCATTAAAATTTAGAAACAAGGTGCAAGATGATAAATCTAGTTTAATTATTCGATTAATAAGACTTACCTATTGATGACTTTTATTATAGTTAAAATACGAAGTAGTAAAAGCAAAATCCTGAATAATTTAAGAAAAATTAGACAAAATGGATCGAGGATAAGACGAATCAGGGTATGTCAAATCATGTATACCAACCCAAAACAAATCACAAATCGAGTCAAATCGAAATTGACATCACTAACAACCATCATAGGTAACTACCATTATTTAGGGCCATGGTATCAGGAAATGACCACTCTAGTATGTTAGGTCACAACTAATAAGGATAATTCCAACAACACAATCAACAATGTTAACTGAAGTTTGCTGTATAAAACATAGTTTGATACCATACTAAGCTCATAAATAATGGAGTATGGAATTTGTTACAAAATGGATGAATGAATGGAAGTTTGTTTACAAAATGGCCAACATGAAATGATTTGGGTGGAGGAAAGTGAATTACCATGGAAGGGACAGAGTTGTAAGATGCAGCCATGGTGAGAACTTCTGGTGGGTTCTTCCTTCTCTAGGAGGGTTTTCTACAGAATGAAAAGCTTTGAGAGTGGGTGAGTGTGAGAGGTTCAACCGGTATGCTCAATTTATAGGGGATATGATGAAGAAATGGATTGATTTGTTTCTTTTTCCTTTTTTCACTTTAATTTCTTTTCCCGTGTTGAAGGTTTTGGTCTTATTTGAATTATTGTGTAATAAATATTTAGGGTTGAAATAATTGTCCAACATGCAACTGGTCTTCAGAATGGGATTGAAACATGTCTGTTGGGAGCTTTACTGTTTAGGCACGTAAGGGAAATTGGGCATCTTCCTCCAACCATGCACTGCCACCATCTTTATCGTCTTCTTGTGTATGAAACGGCCAATGTCATCATCTCTCTCCTACGCCATTCCATTTCCATATCTCTTTTTTTTTTTTTTTTTTCTCAATCTCTCGTTGAGTAAATTTTGTCAATAGTTTTCTGTGCAAAACTCAATTTTGTAAAAGTTTATAACCGGATCTTCCGTTGTTAATTTGGAGTATGAGAGATTAGGGTTTTTAAGAATAGAGGTTGCATGTTTTAGGGTTGGTGCGAACAATCAAGTCACTCCACGACTGTGAAACAAATCCTCCGACTGTAATCCAGTAATCCTTCAGTCTCCCTCCGTTTGACCTCCTTTCTCCACCAAACTTCAACCTAGTCTTGATCATTAAACAAAGATATGCAACAATTATCTAATTAAGAGCTAGAAATACATCAAAAGAGAGTTGAATCGTGATGATAATGACTTAAAAACATCTAAATAGAGGACATAATTGTGTATGAAATCCAGGGTTAGTTGTTAGATTAGTCCGGAATCAGTTTAAGTTTGTTCCTAAGTGGTTGTTCTCTTTCTACTTTCCCCTATATGCTAATTAATAACTCCAATTCCAACATATACACGATTTTTTTGGTTTTCCTTTCTTGCATCGTCTCTTGCAACACAAAATGCTTGTCCCACAAGAGTCCATTTTTAAAGTTCAAATCCATATATTTTTTGCTCATTCGGTGCACCTATACACGCTTGACGGTTGTGCATGATGAAACTATATATTCACCTTAACTATTTGGAGCTCGAGGTTCATTAATCATAAGTACAGGTGAGATTGAGGAGTTGAAAATACAAATCCACCCAAATTCATCTACAATTAACTCACCCATTATGTTGTGGATGGTTCAGATGAATAGGTATAGGCTGTAAAGTAGGTCATCCACTAATTGGATGGATGCATGCATATGGTTGTTGTTGATCCACTATCTGCCAACATTTTAACCTCAAACCATTGAATCTCTACTTGAACGTACCTAAACTAAAACCCAAAAATCACAAATATCCATAATAATTTGTTGTAAATCCAATTATGAATAGTTGGGTTTGTTCGTTACATAAATCGAATCTGTACTATCCCAACTATCCATCATCGGCAATCACTCAATACCCAACTCATCCTTAGGTACACGCATGAGTGAATATGAGCAATTTTTCCTTTCATTCACAATATAGCAAATGGTTCCAAACTCATCCAAATTCACATATAAAATCACTCACTGCTCACCTAAATAATAACCTATAAAATTATTATGAATGAACAGCGTTCATTTAGGGCTTCAAACGAAACTAAGTTCGATCAGCTGGTTGGTTCATGTTTATCCTTTTCCTCGTTTTCGTAACCTGTTACCTCCTTAAAAATGGGAAATATAACGTAGGATAAGATCGTAGTAAAAAGGAATAAGATAACAATAGGAGATAGGGTTTGAAGAACCCAGCTAAGAAGTTGAAATTATGAGGAGATAGATGGGAGAAAGAATTGAATATGGGAGCGGTGGAGGAAATGCCATGCAACAGAAATGTGGAGGTGATGTTGGAAATCGGGACAGAACAAAACTGTATAGGCAAGGGGATGGGTATCATGGAAGTTTCTTATCTCTTTGCCCGTTTCCAGCCGGGGATAGAGATTGATCGTTTATTGAGAATTCCGAGGCGAATAGATGAATGCTTTCACTGCCCTCTCACTCATCAAAAACGCCCTAACTAACTCTCTCCGTCCTCTCACTCTCTCTCTTCCGAGCATATACTAGGCGTAGAAGTTGTCAAACCGATTTATATCGTTATACACTTATACGGGTTTATCAAGTAGTATACTCTGATTGGGGTATGTCGGTCTTGAGAAAACATACGTGAAAGTGAATATTCTTCATTAGCACCAAATGAATTGTGTATTTAGATAATATTTCTTAAAACAATTACCTGTGATCTCCATCTATTTGTAAATAAATTATTATATTGTAACAAAATCAGAAATAATTATGATCTTTACTGGTTTTAACTATCACTTCATATTGGTGGATTTTCAATCGGTTTTTGTCTATATCTGTTGAAATCGACTGTACTAGTCGGCATGCTAGTGGTTTGGTGACCATGGTGTAGCCATTTTAATTATACGACTCATATCCTTCCTTCAACTCTGAAAACACTAAATTCAAATTCCTCCAAAAATTAAAACTCTATAGATAATTAACGTTTCAAATAAACCAAAAATGAAAAGTATCAAAATGCATAGATGTTGTTACTTGGATCTTGATGAATGCATTTTACTTCAACATATGTATAGTATTTTCTTCATAAACATTTAGAGAAATAAGTTAAAGAGATTTTTCTTTATATGCTAACGCATCAATGATATGTTACACTTCCGAAATTGTATACGAAAAAAAAGGTTAATGATTATTTATTAGCCAAACCTTTTCGAATTCTTTTTTATTAGCCAAAATTATCAAAATACTAAGAATTAGCCAAATATTAACTTTTAGTTAGTAATTTTGTTAGTAATATTGACTTGGCAACATGATACCGACTTGAAAGAGACACATAAAGGTCAACATTCCAAAACTTTAGTCTTTTAACTAAGAAAAGAGTTATAAAATTATTAACAATAACATAAAAAATGGCTAATATTTTGATGCATTACGCAAGATTTGGCTAACCAATAGCATTTCAATAGGTTTGGATAATATAAAAGAATATGAAAAAGATTTGAATAAAAATAAACATTACCCAAAAAAAAGACAACGTGAAAAATAATATGTATTAAATCTAAGTCTAAATTTTTTTTATTGAAAAGCGCATCAGGTTAGCAAGATCATGAGAGAAAACACGACAAAATATATTAACTTTTTCATAATATGCTTGTGTACGAAACAAATATGTTTTTGAATACGCTCACTTAGGACAATAATTATAAGACATTGAGTTGGATATCTACAGGTTGTGTAATCCAAAACTCATACCAAACTTAAGAATAAGTTTCTCAATAGAAAATCAACATTTAATTTTCAATCTTACTTTTTTACGATAAATACAGCGAATCGGATTGAGTGGAATTGCCGTTCTTTTCACTAGTCACGGGCCCGACCAGTTGGCCGGATTCGATTGTCAATCACGTAAATAACCGTAGCAATTTGTATTCGAGTTTCACATTAATATACCTCAATCAAGCTAAGAATATTGTCGGTGGTCTGTTGTTCCTCGTCCTTCCGTATCTTGATCATGGTTTACTCACTTGTTGGATTAGCGATGTTGTAAACCGTGAGCTGATGTCGAACCGCAACTCATTCCCTCAATTTGTAGGAGATGAGCAGATGGTGTCCTATAATTCTATCGTTGTCTTGGAATAGCCTTTCAGTCGACATTCCAAAAAATCGAGCTCCCACTCTATCCATAACTACAAAGTCACCCTCTCTTGTTTTGTCCTCAAGTCAAAGGTTGATCTTAAATATATATAATGATTTTAATAACATAAAAAGTAAAATTGTTGAAGTACACGTTATTTTTAGGTATTGAACACAAAATCTAAAAATTATTTAATCAATACTAGGTGGGCATAGTTTTAGCCTCATTCTCATATCCATTTTTTAATCTAAGACACCAATCTCTTGGAATCTCTTTATGTCAACCATATTTAATTTAACATTTTAATACAAATTATGCTTTGGAAATTAAATATTCAATCACTTGGCATGTATATTCTTCAATGAACTATACCAAATCAAATTTTATATTAATAATGGTTGCATTACCTTGATATTGTCCTTTCTAATGTCTTCTAGACAACTTTACATTTGAAGGAATATATATTTTTCTACATATTACAGAAAGTGTTAGAATTTGATAGTTAATGGCTTGTTAAATCGAAATAGATGATTACCACTTCTCTATCTTCCATTTTAATTGATTAATCTCATGTAGTGTTTTGCTTGGGGTTGGCTATTGAGTTTTTCCTATGCTTTTCATTTGAGGAATTGGTGCATCGCCGTCACTTTATTCACCCAAAAAGAATGTTAATTAATCTCCTTTTGTTCTTTGAATGGATAAACAAATACAAAGATTAAATTTTCATTAATTTCACCTTAGTCCAAAATTAATGACTTTCAAAATTCATGGATTTGCCGGCACCAAGGTTGCTCCACTTGAGCAGAAGGTGTTCTTGTCTGCAAATTTGATGATCTTTGAATTAATTGTCATTAATTTACTTGCAAAGCTTGTATTAATAATAAAGTAATTTAGATTTGTTCTTACCATTGTACTTATCAACATATAATGGAATAATGACCAGGATGAGTGGGTGATCACCCGCCTTTGAAAGGATGACATTTAATTGGGTAACTATCCTACCAAAGAGAGTTACCTTGAAAACTAATCCCTTGGACCCCAATTGTATATTAGATTTGCTATTTTTTTTATGAATCGTTGGGTTTGCATTTCATAAAAAAGTGTTGCTAGCAACAGCCTTGCTAGCTAGGCCTACAGTACTTCAATTACCACTACCAAAACTGAAAACCAACAGCAATAACTAAAAGCCTCTACCTCTCAGAAACCAAAAAGCAATCAAGAATTCCAGAATCCCAGGGTTCTCTGTTTCCCTACCACTAGCTCCACTTCAGACTTTATTACCTTTATCAGCAC